TTCGCCAATCACAAGCTTGAATCTATGCTTCAGTTAAAATCAAATTAGGTACAATAGGCTAGTTTTCTAAAAAAAATGTTTTAGTCCGTCATGTTTAGATAATATCAAAAAATATTGGACACATATATTTTTATTTGTCAATCTAACAAATAATTACATAGTTATGGTGCGTTGAAGTTCCGCACGACGTCACAACGTGCGGCACTTTTGTGCAAGCATTGACGTCACGGGCCTCTTCTTATGAACTTTGGCGCGCTTTATCTCTTTAAATTTTCCTTAGTTTGAAAAAGTGAAAAATACGTGTAGAGTATTTTTTGATAAGTTAACTGACGGACTAATTAAAACTCTTGCTTTTTGACCCAGGAAACATCCCTATTTTAATTATTGAACAAGTTTGCATTTATAATTTAAATCCTTGCCATGTCTAATCCCAACCAACTCTACGGCTATCCAATCATCATTCCCTGCGCAGCCCGCCAGCCGCGATTTTGGTGCGCCCGCGCATAGTGCGCGTTGACTCACGCATACCGACCCATTGTGGACACTAATCGAGTGAGTACAATTGATTACGTAGTCATTACAACTATCGGTTATCGGATGGGATATTTTATCGGTTTTGAAACGGGAAAAAGTGCGGTTCTATTTGAGATAATGTTAAATGTCAGCGGTCGGGATATTTATTTTTGGACGTGCATTGAATAGGTTAAGAGTTGTGGTTTAATGCTTCTTCTTCTTCTTTCCATGCCTCTTCCCATTATTTAGTTGTTGTTTGATGCATTTTAAAGTTAAAATAATCTATCGCTATTATTAAATTATTTTGTTCCCGCCCCTGAAAGTGGGCTCTACATTATAACTTAGAAAAAAATGTTCGCAAAGTTATTTCTATCTACTGTGTTCCAATAAATCAATAAAGTAATGAATAGTTAATTTATAAACAAAATATTAATGAAACCTCAGAATTTAATAGTAATTAATTAACCAAAGGTTCCAGTGCTCGAATCATTTTAAAAACATTTCATTTTATATTTTAAAATGCAATTAAGTATGTAAGTATAACAATCTGGGGGCACGGCAGTGCCCCCGCCAAGTCGAGCGCGAAGCAAACACTGCCGTACCATCCTTTACTGGAACCATTTCGCCGCATTTTCAGGTCTCTATTTGAGAACCTTTGGATAAGACCAGAACGCAGAAATTTTCGTCATCTAGTAAGCTATAATCACATACTTAAAATCCAAAATTTCAAGTCTGTAGGTCATTTAGTTCCGAAGTTAAGCGAAAGCAAAGTTTCGCATTTATGACACTCACTCACTCACTGATGATCATCAAAATAGAAGTAGTACTTCCCATTAACTTAGAGAGCTGAAATTTGGTACAGGGTTAGGGTTTAATGGCCACATAAAGGGAAAACTATAAAAACTAGGAAAATCGAAGATCTGGAGTAACACCACATTCATAATCAATACTACTAGCGCCACACCGGCACCGTGGTGTTCGCCTGTACTGCTCACCGCTAGATGGCGCTAGCACTTTGAGCGTCGATTTTCTGCACCGCGGTGTCAAGATATTTTTCCTTTCTAGACCCAGTCGATTAAGTTGAATGTTGTGTAATTATTTGAATTTCGTTGATTTCGTTTATTATATCGTGAGGTTCGCTATTATTAAAACAATTTCTGATTCGTTGTCCATTTTAAAGGTCGTTGAGTTTATTTGTGTTTAATATAAAAAAAAAAATGTCGATAATATTAAAAGAAAAGACGACGACGTTAAATAATTATGCCACTTTCTACAAAAAGAAGTGAAATCCCACCAAAAACATTCTGTAAAAAACTAGCCAAGTCTCGATGGAGCTGCCTGTTTATCTCTAAAAAGTAATGAAATCTAGACAAAGTCGTGCCAAGTCTATGGTTCCTTACTGCGATTTCTTTATTATTTATTGTTAATGTTGTGTGACTTGGCCGTTGAACTATCTTTATTAAGATAATCATACATAAGTATTATTGAAATACGCAGCTTTATTAAGTCTACAATTGACTGGTTATTGAATCAACGTTTTCCAAGTGCAATTTATTTTCCATCGTCAATGGGTAGCGGTTCTGGCGACAGATTGGTGCAAATGGTGTCATGGAGCATCTGGTTTTGTACCCTTCAACGGCCAAGTCACACAACATTAACAATAAATAATAAAGAAATCGCAGTAAGGAACCATAGACTTGGCACGATTTTGTCTAGATTTCATTACTTTTTAGAGATAAACAGGCAGCTCCATCGAGACTTGGCTAGTTTTTTACAGAATGTTTTTAGTGGGATTGATATTATTGTTATGAACTACCAAGTTATTAGTTTTCATAGCTCATTTATTTCTATAACTATGACGTAAAATACCCACTGCATGTCCTGTCCAATAAGTTTCCTTCGACGTTTGCACATATCATTTGCGTACAACCATGGTGTTCGAACGGTAACTTTTGGCAAACCCATTGTTATGGCAAAGAAAGGGAACTCGTTGTTAAGGATACACATCCTTGACTCTAGGGTTGTCGTAATGTATTTATTTATCTCTATTACGAAAAAATAAATTGAAATAATCATTCGAACTTCAAAAGTATTTAATTTTAATTATACATGCATGATTGCTAATTCCGCGATTTAAAATGTTATCCGCTTAGTTTAATTAATTTGTCGAACTGAATGGTTATTTTCGTACTTTCCTCCTATTACAACAATAAACTCACTACCTGTGCCATTAATTTTAGATATATTTTCAGTTCCTTTCTTCATTCCTCAAAATAGGGAGGCGCCCCTGAATCCTTTCTTTCTCTGCTATTGTCGGCTTATTCCACTATTCCCCGTTAACGCCAAATTGGAGCTTATAATGGGGAATAATGAACTAAAAAGTTCATTAATCCCCGTTATATTAGGATTTTATTTTGAACGTAATGGGGATTAATGAACTTTTTAGTTCATTTTTCCCCATTATAAGTTCCAATTGGCGTTAACGGGGAATAGTGAACAAAAAGTTCACGTATCCCCGTTAACGGGGATATCCCCGTTATACTTTTCCTAGCGGAACCCCCGTACTACTCCGCCCGCACGCCCTGCCCCTCCCTTGTGCGTAAACAAGTCGGTGCGAGCGAACAACGTCGGTCACGAAACGTGGGATAATATTTTTTACGGAACCCTTGCGGCCTTTCCACGGAACCACAGGGTTCCGCGGACCACCATTCGGGAACCGCTGGTCTAGCTCCCTTTTCTAGAACTTATCAACCCCAACTTATCAAGAACTGATGGACGGGACGGGCATTATCCTCAATAGAACTAAATGCTAATGCTAAATGCGTAGAACACTACGGTATATGTACGGTCAAGGCCATTGTCACTTTTGTTTAAGGATCCTATAACTGCTTTATTATTTTAAGAGACTAATGCCCGTTTTCACCATCAATCCTTAATATTTAATTGACCCCTTTGAAAACGAAATTCTTTTATTGTGTTGCCATAGGGGTCACTTAAAAATTTGGGATTGTGAAAACGGGCATAAGAGTAACGGGACTATTCCCACCTCTCGTTCCCACCACTGCAACTCTTGTGTAGCCAGGATCTACAGCTTGACCGCCATAAAAACCCAACCAATGAAGGTCAAGTTTGTCCCGGGGGAAAGTTAACCTGTCATTGGACCCGCAAAGAAATTAATCAGAAGAACATAGGAGTTCGAAATTAAGGTTCGACTTAATAGTAAGTTGATAACCCTAGCTTCTGAAGATTGCTATAAACCGTCTAATGGACCCTAATTAGCATCGCTTCGCGTCGGTTAACGGACCCCGCGAATATGGCCGGTACTTGGAACGGACGGATATTTATTAATTTTACTCTGACGTCTTTAATTGCTCATGTTGACGTTGTTTGCGGTGGCAGACTGTGTATGGTCTGCGCCAATAGACTTTTAATTTTGCGAGTTAGATATGAGAAATTTTAAACAGAATTACGCCTATCATCAGGGCACAAACAATTTGATGTAAACGTTATTCAGCTTCTGCAAGTCAGAATTTCAGGATTTCGTTTAGTAGTATACGTGTATTTAAATATCAACGTTCACACGCACATCCTTTACCATACGTTTGCAGCATGCAGTGTCCCGCACAGGCCGCACAAAACAAATCCGTTCGAATTTCAAACAAACATATTGTGAGTTCATGTTCACACGACAGTCCAACTGGATTGTCCTGGGAACGAGCCCTTCCTATAGGCTTTTAGTTAGCATGGTGACATGATCTGGTATGAAAGCTTATAGTCGTGGTAGTACCTCACCCTTTCCTGTCGATATTATTAAAAACATGACCCATTTTTCCACGCGTGCAAAGCCGCGGCCAACAGCTAGTTTAGATGTATTCCAGACATTAATTGTCAAGTCAACAAAAAGGGTGACTAATTGAAACGGACAATATTATTATTATTCAGTAACTTAACTGCACGTGTTCTTCGATAACTGTGTAGAAATATTATCAACGTTTTTTGCTACTGGGAACTGCAATGCAGTGGTCTGTTGACTGACTGTTGTGCGCAGTATCATTTCATGTGACTCCGGAAGTGTAGAATCGGTAAAGGGGAATTTTGGAAGAACCAACAAAGCTCAGAATAACTAAAGGTTACAAATATGATATGTACCTACTACCATAAAATTAATAGTACAAATACTACTATCGAATGATTTCATATGGGGTTGTTCAATTTTTTCAGTATCGATATCGATTTTCTATAATTCTTTCCTGTTTGCTTTGCTGGAATATTAATGAATTTTGAGGAAAGCATAGTAAACATTGAAGAAAATCCAATTATAGATATTATAATATCACTACATGCTTAAAATTAAGATTATCTCAAAAAATACTTAGTACATGGTGCCTGATAAGTGTCTTGGATAGCTCTACCACCACTTCGGGACAGTATATTTTGTCAGTCTTTTGTTTATTCATTAAATTCTTATACGTATTTCTCTCTTCCAGCCATATACAACTTCACCAGCGGCTCCCAGTTCCACCTCCAGCTGGATGTGGGGGAGCTAGTGCATGTGGAAGCAGAGACAGCCCACTGGTACTGGGGGCGAAGCCTCCGGAGAGAGGCTAGCGGTGCCTTCCCGAGAAACTACGTCGTTATACGGGACTGCAATGTTGACAGGTGGGATAGCATTCTAATACATATAGCTGTATTTTGTAAGGAAGCTAGTACAGGCATATACTGCTAGTTCTGGAAGCGCTGTTTTCTCAAAGAGGCCAGGAGAGTCTATCCCAGAAGCTACTTCGTCATACGGGAGAGCAATATTGACAGGTGGGATAACATTCAAATACATATAGCTGTCTTTTGTAAGGGAGCTAGTACAAGCAGAGACTACTAGTTCTGGGAGCGCAGTTTTCTCAGAGAGGCCAGGGGAGTCCTTCCCAAGGAACTACGTCGTCATACGGGACTGCAATTGACAGGTGAGAGACTCATTCGAATACATTAGCTGTCTTTTGTAAGGGAGCTAGTACAGGTAGAGACTGTGCTGGTACTGGGGGCGCAGCCTCCGAAGAGAAGCCAGCGGCGCCTTCCCGAGGAGCTACGTCGTCATACGGGACTGCAATGTCGTCAGGTGAGATGAGAATGCAGTTCGAACCCCGACGTCGCTCATCTTTTGTGGTGAATCCACTCGTAATACAAACTTAAGAGGGACTTCTCCTCTTTATCCTTTTTCTTAGTTACTATTTTTGTTTGGAAGTGATATTTGTAATGACTGTTTTTGTGCCAAATAAATAGAAAAAAGAAAATAGTTCAGCGGTCGACAGGAATCAACCTATCCATTATGAATCGGCATTTTAACACCAGTGTTGTAATTAGATTCTGTACTCTCAGATAGATAGATAGCTGATGAAATGACGCATCAAAGAAATATTTGCTATTTTCTAGTTTGTAACTTAAAAAATCGAACTGTTCCGCCCTTCGTTCGCACGAATGTATGTATGTTGCAAATTGAATTTCACTAGTTACTATCAGTTAAACAATAACCCGCTTATCAGATCCTTCCCTAACATTAGCCCAGTGCCCCTAAACAATAAGGGTGACCCGATGACTGACGGTTCAGCGACTCGGCAGTCTGACCAGTGAATCATGCTCTTTAATTAAAATATTATCAGTTTAGCGTTGTAGCGGTTATCGATGTCGATAAGCTGGCATCGACAGAAATTGAAAACAGTTCTAAAGTGTAGTTTGTCCAAACTAAAAGTAACTTAACAAATTACATCCAAGTTGTCTTTAAAATGCGAGCAAAAAATCAATCTCAATCTATTAATATTTTAAGAGATTTGTATGAAACGCAGACATAAGTCTAAGTAACAATAACAAGCATATAGGTGCTAAGGATAGTTATCTGTAACCATTGTTCATGCAGTCTACAATTCAGTTTAGAGTTTTTTTAAATGAGATTGAAGTTTTTTACACGATTGGAGATTTTGTGCCCTTCCCTCAAATCCAATTGCGATATGTTAGGCCAATAAAGTATTTTTTGAATTTCTGCGGAACAGCCCTCATGCTTAATTTGTTTTTTCCACTTTCCGGTCTATCGATACATTTTTAACGGCTTTCAGTTACATCTACACATCACTAACTTTACGTTATCCGGTTGGTCGGAATTCGATACATGCTGTGGGTGTCGACTCTGTAAACAATATGCGATCAACTTTATCTATCTCTTTTACCTATAATGGTGCAACAGGATGAGCAAGAGAGATGGATAGAATCAAGTTTATCGAATAATTTGTTTTAGTAGGACCCCAGCTGATAATAAATTGTTCGTAGCTTCTGATAGGTCAGTAATTCAATACGCTCTCACTTTTAGGCCAGTAGTTGAGTTACTTTGATAACAAGCCCTTTCTAGATTGTGACAAATTAATGTTACAGATCTCAAATGTAACAGAATTTAATGAGGTAACCTATTTGTCTCTTATTGTGATAAGTTCAGAAGCTTATGANCATGCAGCGGAGGTTACGTCATGACCCATTTAATGAAATCTTAAGAACCACATATAAAAGGTACCGAAATTTCTGTACTAATTTGGTTAGAAAGTTAAAAAATCAATATGAAAATGAGCTTTTAGCCAAAAATAGGAAAAACTCACGATGTCTGTGGCAAGCAATAAATGACATAACATCAAGAAGCACTAGAAAATCAGATGGACTAGAACTGCTGGATTCGCAAAGTACCCCGGGTTTGTCTGTGAATCACGTCAATGGTTTCTTTGCTGACATCGGGAAAACCTTAGCCCAGAACATTTTAAAAACAAGTTCCCCTCAACAAGCGAAAACTAGCAAGGAGCCCTATCATTCGCCGGTGACTTCTTTTGCCTTTCACAATACCACTTGTGAAGAAGTATACAAAATCCTGATGAGCCTTAACTCTGAAAGCGCCCCAGGCTGGGATAATGTACCAACCAAATTTCTTAAATTAGGTTATGGTATAGTGGTTCCCATAATCTCGCATTTAGCCAACTTGTGTTTTGGACAGGGTATCTTCCCAGATGCACTCAAGAAAGCTATAATCACACCAGTGTATAAGAGTGGGGACAGAGACGATGTGTCAAATTATAGGCCAATTTCGGTCCTTACTGCGATATCCAAAATTTTAGAAAAGTTGATCAACAAAAGACTCTTAAACTACTTAAACAAAACTGACTTTTTATCTCATTCGCAATTCGGCTTTCGACAAGGTCTCTCAACCGAAGATGCTATTATCTCTCTCACTTCTCACATTGTTGAAAAGGTTGACAGAGGGAAAAAATGTATCGGAGTATTTTTAGATTTGAAAAAGGCCTTTGACACCGTCTCTGTTCCGATTCTTGTACAAAGGCTTGAGTCTATTGGCATAAGAGGTGTCGCTTTGGCTTTGTTTGAGGACTACCTCAGCAATCGGAAACAGCACGTTAAGCTTGGTTCGCATATTAGTGAGGAATGCTGCGTGACGTACGGAGTGCCACAAGGAAGCGTCCTAGGTCCTACTCTATTTTTAATATATATTAACAGTCTTTGTAACATACAAATAGACGCAGGAAAAGTTTTTTCATATGCAGATGATACTGCAATCATTTTTACTGGCAATTCGTGGAACTCCGTGCGTCAGGCTGCAGAGGCAGGGCTTGCAAGCATAGCCATCTGGTTAAGGTTGAATCTGTTGACGTTAAATACGGACAAGACTAATTACATTGCGTTCACAAATTATAACTCATCACAACCTAAAACAAACTTTAAAATACAAATTCATGAATGTCAGAACCAGAGTAGTTTGGCATGTGATTGTAAAGTAATTTCCAAAGTGACTTACACTAAATACCTAGGAGTGCTTGTTGACCAGCGACTTTCCTGGCATGCCCACCTTGAAATGATGATGACAAGAACCAGGAAACTAATATGGGTGTTTAAAAAACTTCGTTGCGTTGCCGATAAAAGTCTGCTAAAATCAGTGTATATTTCACTAGCTCAGTCACTCTTGGCTTATTGTATTCCGGTCTGGGGAGGGGCAAGTAAGATGAAGTTTAAAGATTTAGAAATAGCACAAAGAGCTCTCTTAAAAGTTATTCACTTCAAACCGTACAGATATTCTACGCAAGATCTTTACAAACTTAGTGATGTTCTCTCGGTAAGACAAATCTATTTTTTAAACGCTATCCTAAAACTTCATAAATCCTTGCCTTACGATGCCCATAAAGTCGCCCGAAGACGTAATTATAGCGTAGCTATTGCTCCTGCTGTAAGAACGGCTTACGTAAAAAGGCAATATATGTCACGGTACTCACGGTCTGCCATATTATACAATAAAATAAATAAAATTTTGAATATCTACCCAAAGAATATATGCGCGTGCAAAGAGACCATCACTTTATTCCTTAAATCCTGTAGCTATGTGGAAACTGAGGCATTTCTAGAAGAAGTAAATTAACTAAATCACCCACCCTCGCACACACACTCACACTCACTCACACACACACACACACACACAAACACACACACACACACAAACACACACACACACACACACACACACACACACTCTTGCACCCTGGAATTTTGAACATTAATTTATATTGTGTAACAACAACAACCTGAAACAAATTACTTTTTCTTTTTTATATTTAAATTGATTTAATTAATTAATTTTTACATTATTTTATATAATTTAATAAAATAGGCTGAAAAATAATATATGTATAATCTAAAGTCACAATTATTATTTATATTGTCAATTAATGTTAAATTAATATGGAGAGCGGGGATATTCTACCACAAGTATTTATTTACTTAAAAGAATTCCTCGATCGCAATATAGAAATGTAAAAACAACTGGTTATGAATAAAGAAATTTGAATTTGAATTTGAATGGACACGAATCAAAGAGCGCACACACATTACACCGAATTGGTATCGGCCGATTCTTCATACAAGTTAAAATCGGGCCCAACTATCGGCCAATTAAAAATTGATGGTCTGCGCCTAGACTAAAACCCCGCAGACCACCGACTTTTAGTTCGCCGATAGTTGGGTCGGCTTCCAGTTTGTATGAAGAATCGACCGATACCAAATCGGTGTAGTTTGTGCACTTCCATACATGTTCATACTGATAAACAGCCCGACGCAGCTAAGGCTTCTTGTACACGCTAAGAAATTTCACCGTGTCTGCCGCAGACAAGAATTTCGTCGGCCTAGCTACTAAAATTTGTCACACTGATGCACTGTGCGCGCCGCTTGTCGTATCTAGAGCAGACAATTATTACTTGGTCAGCGCCGGAGCAATGTAGGTACACGGTTCGTGTGTAGAACGAACGACGCACCATAGGGGTCACTTAAAAAATTGGGATTGGTGGTGAAAAATGGGCTGAAAAGTCTTTATTTAGTCTGCGGGGTGCCTAAAGTCCTTGAAATACTTGAGACTAACTCTCGTATTCACAAACGATGCTTGCTTAAGTGAAGCAGAAAATCGAACGCACAGCGTTGTATAGAGCTCTGTGATTGGTTCGTGTGTCACCCTGTGCATCCACGTGCACTGTGAGACCTCATAGTAATGTTTGTTAATACCGGCGTGAGTCTCCCTCGTTACTCGTCTCGTGACATCACTAACGCCAGTGCATTCTCGAGATTTGTAACTCGATAACGCG